TGTAACATAGACCTGGCCTGCAGCTGACAACTGCTTCTTTAAAAAAGAAACAACAACAAAAACTCTTGCGCCTGATCCGCTGGTTCAGATGTCAGCCGTCTTTGGCCTTTGTGCTTGGCTGATCGCTAGTTGGCCTCCATTTATCCTCCCTAGCTATAACTGTTTGAGATACATGTAGAATTTGTTACTGATGATGGGCACCTTTGACTACTATATTCAGAGCTTGGATGTTGCTCTCTCAGGAATGACCTGGGACAGTTGCTCATGTGCGCAGATGCCGAGAAATTAACAATCAGTTGAGTTCTGAATTGCAGAAACAAGATTGTTTTACATTTTCCTACAGCCCTGTTTCCTTCCAAGTTAATCAGCCAAGAGCAAATACATTTTCTTTACTTTCCCCATTTATATATATAAAAAAACAAACAAACATGTTCACCATTTGCTTTTTTCTGAGGCATTTCAGACCCATTTTATGAATTTAGCTTTGGAGGCAGTTGCTGTTTACTTCCACCTTCTGTTTTTAATGCTGTGAATACCCCATCTGCACATGTTAGTTTTATGTGTATAACCTAAATGATTAATCAATTTTTTTTCTACAGAAAAGCAAAGTCTGCATTTTGTCAATACAGCGCTTCAGAATCATGTAGGAGCTTGATTCAATTCCTAACACTTTTGAAACTGTATACATTTAAAGTGGCACACATATAGGTCCCCTATGTAATTACCTAATTTGGAGAAGTGGCTTATTCTAAGAGTTTGTCCCCTGTTGCACATTCCATTATCAGGAATCAGATGGGTGCATCTAGCTGTCGCTGGCTTCTTGTCATTGAGTTTCTTAGTGTCTTTATTTCGTTTGTTGTTGCACATTTGAAGCTGATTTTGCTTGCCTCTGTAGATTTTAGCCTTTTAGCTCTTTAGCCTCAAAAACCTTGTAAATTATGTATTTCTAACATGTAACTGATTCACTCATTCTCACAAGGAAACTAAACTGTGTTCACCACCCATGACTCTATCATTGTTTTGACCATCTTTACTCTTACACCTTCCATATAGCAGTGAAGAAATCCTGTTTTTCGTTCCATTGCACTAATGGTGTGTTTTGACAATGACTATGGGAAAAGTGTCTTTAAACTTTTGTTGGTTTGTTTTTATTTTGTTTTTTTGCCAGTGATACCAAAAGCAACATAAACTAAATTAGAATTTCTTTGTTATCTGAAGAATTTAGTAGAGAAAGACTGACAGCCTTTATTAAATGTGCCAATAACCAAGTTAATTTTTGACATCCTGCCTTTTTTCAGCCTCTTTATCCTTCCGTCCATTCTTAGAGAAATTCCTTTGCGTAAAGGAACTTTAAACAGCTCAACAGTTTTGAATGTCCGCACTAAGTGCATTGTAATGCCTGTTTAGAAAAATGCATATGTTTTATTACTCAAGCATGTATCAGTTTGTAATACTTCAGGTTCCTTGTATATGTAAATTATGACCTTCTAGTGCCAACATATCTCACTGGTATCTGAGGACATCTTTATGAATCGCAAGGCGACCAGCTGAGTCTTTGAATTCATAAAGCGCATTCCTTCTCTTCTGCCTTTCCTCCAAGACTCTGATGGTGAGTCAAGCCACTTCCTGAACACTGGGATGGCACTCACCAGCGACGTTTCGAAGCGCAAGTTATTTAGTTTACTCAAGTCTAGCTTTGGGATGACCACCGACACAGGCTGGGAGGTTTTGCGGGGTTTCACGTTCTTTTGTCCAGATTTGTCAGTTAAGTAATATTTTTGAGAAAGGGAGAAATGATGGATGGATTATGGGTTTTCAAACTCGGCCTGGGACTTCTTGATTTTTCTTCTTTATTTTGTATCTGTACAGTCATGTCGTTCAACCACTGCAGTCATTGTTAATTCTTGTACAAGTTGTATCACTGGTTGTTGTACCATATCTGACATTTGTAATTATGAAATAATACACTGCCATTTGTATAAAAATACTTGTGTCTTGACTTATTTGATCTGTGTTTTCGGTTTTATTACTGTGAATAAAAGGCCATCGATTGGAAGAGTATAAAATGTAATGATCTAGTGCTGGGGGGGAAAAAAGTATCCCCCCCCCTTCCTCTTTTCTTATTTTTTGCATATTTGTCACCCTTAGATGTTTCAGCATTCATCAAATTTTAATGTAAGACAAAGATAACCCGGGTAATTACAAAATCAGTTTTTAAATGATTTCATTTTAAAGGCATGATGAAGCTAGGGATGGGAATTCATAAGAATTTAGCAATTCCATTATCGATATCACTTATGGATTAAAAATCCTTATCGATTCTCATTGGCTCTGCTTTGAAAGTCATCACCATCACTAAGCAGCATATCTGGGGCTGTGGTCAGTATTCAATCAGCTTTAACATCACTCTGGGTTGTTGGCTATCTAAGTGTTAGCATGCTGTCTGCTGTCTGCTGCATTTTGCCATCACGCTCCATATGTGGAAAGGTAATGCTACCCTTGCTAAATCACAGCCTTCTTAATCAGGAAATCATGTAAATAGAAACCAATCTGAAGTAGACAGAAATATTGCAAAAAGCAACACATTGTGCTTCAATCTAAAGGAACTCAAGAAAAATTAAGGAGCAAAGTCACTGACATCTGTCAGTCTGGAAAGGGTTACATAACCATTTCTAACCAAGGTGAGAGACATTATCCACAAATGGAGAAAACTTAGAAGAGTGGTGAACATTCCCAGTAGTGATGCGACTACCATAATTACTCCAAGAACTCATTGACAACTTATCCAGAAGGTCACCAAAAAACCCAGAACAACATCTAAAGAAAGAAGAGCGTGTGCAAAAAAGGGTGTAGCTATTGCGGTACACAGTGTGTTAAGTGGAGGAGTTGTACAGGGAGATGGCCACAGGCAGGAATGATTTCCTGTGTCGTTCAGTGGTGCTTTTTGGTAATCTCAGTCTCTCACTGAACGTGCTCCTGTGACTGACCAGCATGTCATGGAGTGGGTGGGAGGTATTATCCAACATTGTCTTTATTTTGGGCAACATCCGCCTCTCCGACACCACCTTAAGGGAGTCCAGCTCCATCCCCATAACATTACTGGCCTTACGGATCAGTTTATTGAGTCTGTTGGCATCTGCGACCCTCAGCCTGCTCCTCCAGCATGCAACGGCGTAGAGAATTGCACTGGCCACAACAGACTCATAGAAAATCCTTAGCATTGTCCGGCAGATGTTGAAGGACCTCAGCCGCCTCAAAAAATACAGATGACTCTGGCCCTTCCTGTAAAGTGCTGATGTGTTTTTAGCCCAGTCCAGTTTATTGTCAATGTATACTCCGAGGTATTTATAGTCATCCACAATGTCAACACTGACCCCCTGGATTGAAACAGGGGTCAAGTGTTTCCTGGTCTTCCTGAAGTCCATGATCACTTCCTTGGTCTTTGCCATGTTGAGCAGAAGATGATTCTGCTCACACCACGTGACAAAGGAGTTGACCACAGCCCGGTACTCTGTCTCATCATCCCTGCTGATGCACCCAACCACTGCAGAGTCATCAGAAAACCTCTGAATATGGCAGGTCTCTGTGCAGTGGCTGAAGTCTGTGGTGTAGAGGGTGAAGAGGAAGTGGGAGAGGATGGTCCCTTGTGGTGCCCCTGTGTTGCTGATTACCTTGTCAGACACACACAGTAATCTAAACGAGATGGAACAAAAGCATTGACAAGTATGGCGGTACTGTTTGGAGTGATTGAAGGACGAAGGCGGTTAATATGATGAAGATGAAAATAAGAAGACTGAGTGATATTATTTATATGTGCCGTGGTGTCGAGGATGACACCAAGACTCTTAACCGGAGGGAAAGGTGTGCCAACACAGTTATCACTGGATAATGAAAGACTTCTGGTTGGAACTTTAGTCAGTTTTGATTTGGTGCCTATTAGAATAAATTCTAAAGTAGTGATAGTATGATGGTCTGGGCCTACTTTGCTGCTTCAGGACCTGGGCAACTTATTGTAATTTATGGAATCATGAACTCTGCTCTCTACAAGACAATCCTGAATTAGAGAATCTGGCCACTAACTCAAACCCTGAAAGTCAAGCACACTTAGGTCAACAGGACTGTGATTCTAAACACACACACAAGTCCACATCTTAAAAAAAAAAGAAAAAAAAAAGAGTTTTGGACAGTCTAGTCAACGTCTGGACTCAAATCCAATTGAAATGCTTTGGCATAACCTTAAGCAGGTCGCTCACGCTAAAAAACAAAACAAAAAACCCTTCAATGTGGCTGAATTAAAACAATTCTGCAAAGAAGAGTGGGCCATAATTCCTCCATAGCACTGTGAAAGACGCATTAGCAATTATTCCAATAAATGCTTGACTGTAGTTGATGCGGCCAAGGGAGGCACAACCAGTTATTAGGTTTAGGGAGCAGGTAGATTTGGGTGGCTTTTCCTCCCTTAATAAATGAAATAATCATTTAAACAGCATTTTGTATTCATTTGGGTTATGTTTGTCTAATATTGCAATTAGTTTGATCTGAAAAAATAAAATAAAATAAAAAAAGAAACGAAATCCGGAGTAAAATACTTAAAGTTTATGCCGTTAGACCTACCTTTGTTCCATTCATTACCTGCTTCTTCCAATTTGTCAGAGATCATAGCACTAACAAATGAATAAATGATCGAATAACTGTGTCAGGAAGGGCTGGTTTCAGTGCATTTGTTTTTCCTTCCTACGCTCTCGTATCAGTTGACACCCACTGTTATCAGCGCACACACTAAAGTCAATACTTGTAAATTACACTTGAACAAATCTGTCCTGCACTCCAGATTTCAGCGGTCTCGTGACTGCAACAATAACAACAAAAGAAAAAAATCGCAGTGTCGTATTGGTTCTTTCTAAAGCCACTCAACAAAAATCCGGACTCTGATTGGCTGCTGACGTTGCACCCTTCCCCTCTCAGTAAACCTGTCACACAAGCTACTTCCTGGTGTGATTGGTGGGAAAACGCAATGCTGCATCAAAGATGGCTTATTATCAACCTGCATTTGATTTATTTAGGAATAGTAGTGTGAAAGAATAAGTGGCGCTCTCCGAGAAGACAAGGCGGAGAGCTGGTGGTAGCTGTCGCGAGCAGTGTTAGCACTCTCGCTGCACTACGCACCTCTTGCTCTCTACGTGCGCAAACGTTAACTTGCCTCTACTCTGCTAGCTAGTTAGCTCACATAGTAAATATTAGCTCGCCAAGCAAGCTTGCTTATTGTAGATTGCTAAAATGGCCACCATGGAGAAATTGATGAAGGCCTTTGAGTCTCTGAAGTCATTCCAGCAGCAGCAGGGACCACCGACCGCCGAGGAGCTCGCTCAGAGGCAGTAAGTTGATTTTTGTCCAGCGGTGACAGAATAGCAGGCGAGGAGCCGTTAGGCTAGACCCTTAGCTTATCGTGCTAGCAGCGTTAGTCCATTTCGGGTAGATAACCAACGTTTAATAGATGGCTTTAAGTCAGCTGCACTAAAACGTAAACTGGGAATGAGGCTAAGGTGTTATTCATACTTCTCAGCCCATTTAGGTCCACTTGTTGCCATGCTTTAGATCGCTGCTTAGCGATGCTCGCTATCCTAACGCGATCTGATTGTTTGCTAGCCTGATTTTAGAATCAGAACAGCTGAATGATGGCTAACACAGAAGGCTGATGCCAAGAGCACGTGAAAGGGTCAGGAGGATCAATTTCAAGGACGTGATTTTGTGTATTCAGTAGCAGAGGATATTGAGTTTCATAATAATATTTAAACTGCTTATGCAAATGGTTATGAATGGAATGATGAACATAGCGGGGATTCCTGCACTTGCGTCATCTCCAAGAAGTTTTACAGATCTAGTCCGTTGTTGGTTGAAACACAGGGGTAAGAATTCATTTATATAGCATGTAAAGAAGTGAATTGATGGGATCAGTGCGTAAGGAATACAGTTGTAGGGGATGGCTCTGACTTATAGTTATTATTTTAATCACTGCATTCCTTGGCTATAAGCAAGATACCTAAATTCAGTCTTTCTTTGTGCGCGCACACACACACACACACACACACACACACACACACACACACACACACACACACACACACACACACACACGTCATCTTTTGCATTTTGTCTTCCACAGAAAAAAGGAGCAAGCTGCCACAAAGAAGGACAGGGTGACCCACTGTCTGACAATATGTGAAAACATTGTGGCTCAGTCACTGAGGTATTCCTTGTTATTTGATCTAAATATGTGTTGGTGTGAGTCATATCTTTTTATATTCCTTTAGGGTTTCCTATCACCTTCACTAACTGTATAAGCGGTGAGATAGCTTTTCTGTAAAGAATGTCTGAGGTGCAAGGTGATGTCATTTGCAACCAGAGCTTCTTCAGTAGTGATTTTACACCTGATTTCACTGATTTCTGTGATATTTGGTTTCACTTTTGTATTTTGGGAATGAAGTGGGGACATGTTCGTCTTTACATATATATATTTTTCTTTTCTGTAATGTCCTTTTTGAAAAAAACTTATTGCTCCTCAGTTTTGTGCGTTTATGCTAGGGGGTTAACAGTTTGAGAAAGGGAAAAAATTAATATATTTTTGGCTTTTCCTCTCTCTGGTCCTGGGAATAGAACATCTCCAGAGTTTCAGAAACTGCTTGGCATTGCCATGGAGATGTTCCTGCTCTGCAGCGATGACAGTGAATCAGATGTTCGGATGGTAGCCGATGAGTGCCTGAACAAAATAATCAAAGTGAGCAAAATCTGCAAGATGGGACAAATGAATAAGAATATTAATGGCAAAAATTGTCAAAATAAGTTTGGTGTTGTTGGTGGTAGTGTTAATCATTCATTTTGATAATTTTCAGGCACTGATGGACTCCAACTTGCCTAGACTGCAGCTGGAATTGTACAAAGAAATTAAAAAGGTAAGGCATGGGGTTGTAAAGTGAGCATTTTGTAATACACCTTATATGTCTTTACTCTCAGACTATAGGCCAGTGTTAGATGTGAAAAGAAATTGTTTGACGTTTCTTTAGAGAAAGTACGGTCAGATATTAGACATGGTAATATCAGTGCTTGTGTGGCTCAATAGAATGGTGCCTCTCGGAGTCTGAGGGCAGCTTTATGGAGGTTTGCTGAGCTTGCCCACCTCATCAGACCGCAGAAATGCAGGTATGCAAACTTATAATATTTTTACTTTTTTTTTTAAACCATTATCCACAACATGTCTTATTTTATAGTCTGCTGCTTTTGTGGGGACAACATCAAAGTATCATCTGTGCTTTTTTTACTTGCATATGCATATTTTTGTTTTGCTTCTACTTCATGTATACTTCTTCTCTCTCCCTTATGGCGCAGACCTTACCTGGTCAACCTGTTGCCGTGCCTCACCAGAATCACAAAGCGGCAGGAAGAGACTGTGCAGGAGACACTTGCTACAGCAATGCCCAAGATCATGTCTGCCCTGGGACACTTTGCCAATGATGGTGAAATCAAGGTATTCACCTGCTGATTGTGTGCTAAAGTAGAAAAAAAATCATAGGCCAGTGGAAACTTTTTTTTTTTTTTTTTAACATCATCCAACTATTTCTGTTTTAGGTGCTGCTGAAGGCATTTGTGGCTAATCTGAAGTCCAGCTCCCCGACCATTAGACGGACAGCAGCCAGTTCAGCTGTTAGTATTTGCCAGCACTCCAGACGCACCAGCTACTTCTACACCTGGCTCCTTAATGTGCTTCTGGGTAGGTTGCACACTGGCTCACTGTCAAGCACAGACCTTGGGCATGTCTTTTCTACCCTTTTACATTTTACTAAGCTCATTTGTGTTAAAATATGTGAGCTAATTTAGAATTTTTGCCCTTTTCGCCTTTTTCCAGGTCTGTTGGTTCCGGTGGATGATGACCACTCCAGCCATCTAATACTGGGGGTGCTGCTAACTCTTCGTTACCTGATGCCTCTGCTGCAGCAGCATGTCAACTCCACTAGTCTTAAAGGAAGCTTTGGTGTCATGAGAAAGGAAGCTGATGTACAGCCAACACCCGAACAACTGCTGCAGGTGAGATGGAATTTGTTTGTGTATATATATGAAAAAAGAGTTTGTATACACTTGTATAATTGGATGTGCAATAATTCTGTATGCATGTCTTTTAAAGGTGTATGAGCTAACCCTACACTACACACAGCACTGGGATCACAATGTGGTCACAGCTGCTCTGGAGCTGCTGCAGCAGGTCTTCAGGACTCCCCCACCAGAGCTTCTGCATATGCTCATTACTGCTGGTAGCATCCCACATGCCACCGTTTTTCGTCAGGACACTGAGAACCGCTCACGTTCTGGCAGCATCCTTGAATTCATTGGTAATCACATGAATTGACTAATACTATCTAAACAGTGCTTTTTATTATCCCTTTAGATATGTGTCTAGAAATATTTACACAGTTAACCAGCTCTAGAGACATGATTTTTATCTGTTTCAACTAGTTTATAATTCATTCACTTATGCTGACCTTGCCAGAGGACCACATGGACAAACTGTGTTGGGGTTCCACTCTGGCCTCTTCTTTTGTTTGTGGCCTTTTTCTTTGCATTTTAACTAATTTTCTGACATCCTTAAATAATAGTTTCTGTTTCTTATAAGCTTCTCTGAGCCTGTACTACTTTCCTACTCCTCAACTTCTATTTCTGCTTCCTGTTTTCATGCCTTTTGCAGCGGGGGGAGGGTCTTCCTGCAGTCCACTCCTTCTCAGGAAACAGAGAGGTGACTAGTCTGTTTATCTCCTCTGTTCACCTCTTTCCTCTCTCAGATGTGCCAATCAGGGCTTGAACAAGTTTACCTTCAACTGTGAGGCACTAAAGGCCGTGGACTTGCCTAAAATTACATATTATTATCCCTGTATATCTAAATTTTATTCTTGTGCTCAATTTAAAGTAAATCACCACACTTAGGTTTGAGTGCCTTTCCTTCTTTTGAACTGCTGTTAATCTTACAGATTCATATTGACAATAAACCTGTTATTTCCAGGTAAAATGCTCTCTGGAGAGGAGGATGGGTTGGAGGATGACCCTGAGAGGACTGAGGTCACTACTGGTGCTTTCACAGGTGAGATACAAACACCAGCAAGCAAATTGTCAAGTTTATGTCACCTTTGACTGTGTTCCTAATTTCACAGTGTAAGTATGTGGAGCAAAAATAAAGCTTCTGTGTGTTTCTTACTTTAGCATCAGTTGTTGGTGCAGACGGCTCCTCTGCAGCCCAGGTGGACATCATCACTGAACAGCCTCGGTCTTCCCAGCATGCTCTGCAGCCTGGTGATTCTGTGGACCTCAGTGCCTCCTCAGAACAGGGCGGTGGCGGAGGTGGGACATCTACATCAGGCACTCCAGAGTCACCCAATGACAACGAGGAGGAAATGCTCAGTCGGAGCTCCAGTGGTGGGGCAAATGTTACCCCAGAGACTGCTGACTACACCACCCCAGAGAATGCGACTCCAGAGGGAGGGCTTCTAGGAGAAAGTGGGACACTGCTAGGCACTAATGATCGCTCACTTCCACCCAGCGACTCCTCCCAAACCACCACAGAGGGACCGGACTCAGCTGTCACCCCTTCGGATGTAGCAGAACTGGTAAGTTGACTGGGTAGGACTGCACATGGCTAATTTTATTTGAGACTACAGCTTGTACATCCAGTAATTGTGTGGGTTTCTGTTGAATATAATGAACAGTGTGCTTCCCTTGACAATGATGGATTTAATTACCATGCAATCCATTAATTACCTCTGAACCTTTATGTCTCTGATGGCATTTTTCTTGGTTTGAAAATGATGCTTCACTTCCCAGAACGTTGATTCTGTTGATCTAGATGTAGTTTATTGAGTCACTTGGATGAGTTACGAAACCTCTATCCCACTGAAAACATCAACATTAGTGGAATATTGGTAATATTGGTGGTTACACAACTTTATTATCCCCCTTGATTTCCTGAAGACTTGTGGTAGATGGTGTTCCTCTCTTCACCATCACTACCACTCAGTTCTTCAGAGGTGGAAATGCTCCTGTAATATTCTATAACAATCCATGAGATTGTTATGAACTGGTGCTAAAAATAACATTACATTTAAAATGAATGAAATTGATTGTAAAAGATTTTGGGGTCAAATATATTTCTTTGTCCCTGAGAATAAATATTTCTTCCAGTAGTGATATTGAGTAGCATATTAACAGGAGGTGATTACAAAACAACTTCCTTTGCACTAGCATTTCTTTCTGAAGACTTTTTAAAAGATAAAAAGCAGCTTATCAGAGTAGCAGCTAGAAATACTTTCCTGAGATGATTCAAGAAGAAGATCAGTTTTTATCCTTAAATCTTTTGTGCAGGAAAAAAGGAACATGAAATCCTTAAGTGTTTAACCATAATGCTAACATTAATAAGTCACAATCTGGTTGTTAAGTGATTATGTATGAACCCTGCTTACAAACTATCCTGCGTTTATTAAGGCTGTTGTCTTTTTATGGTGTTTTAATGCTTTGAATCTTCTTAAATTTAATCTGAAGAAGCCCCTAAAAATAGTCAGTGATCACTGTCGGCTTCTCTGGATTTTTATTGCTAGTGTTCATCTGCAGGACATTTTAAAGCTCAGTTTTTAAAACCTTGCGATGTAACTGCAGCCTATTGGCTCACGATTTGCTGGACACCAAATATTTGAATCAGGTCACCCTGAGGTTAATAAAGATTTGAACAGGTACATGAAGCTGAGGATGAGGAATTTGTCACAGCAAGTAATCCAAACCATGCAGCAGTATATTAATGACTTACCTCGTGATGGAGATGGATCATCACTTCTGACTGAAGTTTGGCTCGTTTTCAGCATTTTTTCCTGCCACGCGATTGCATTTGTCTCTGCCCATCCCTGAACCTCACGTTAACATTTACTGAGGGGGAAAAAAGTCAGTGTCTGTCCTTCAGCTTCACTATGCTAATGTGTTTCTATATTACCCTAACCATAGCTCTGTAGCTAGCCACAACGTAGCACATTATTATATACGAGCTAGTCCAACTTCAGTAACCCGACAAACGTCGCCACTGTTCAGTTTTCTGTCTTCATTCATGTCTGACGTGATAGCAGAGCTGTGCGTTTTTAGTTTTTCAGAAATCCCTCAGTCAGAACATTGTACATTATCTTCAGATGGAAACCAACGAGCTAACTCCCAGCCTACTTCTAACTCTGGTAAACTTCAGAAATTCTGTTTTTTCATGAATGCCTGGATGTTAAACCGGTAGAGCAGCCTCACTGATCATTTTATCAAAGATGAAAGGATTTAGACAGTTTCTAACTCTCAATGATGCCCCAGTGTTTGTTTGATTTTGGGAACTGAAGAGGAATTTGGACCTGGAAACAGCTAATGACGTCAGACTGAGAAGCAGATAAGTCTTATAACAGGGGAAACCCTGTTATGCTTTTAGAAGCAGTTGGACTTGTTTTCTATGTCATTAATTTTTTGTCTTTTTATTATGCTCCTAATCATGACACAGTAATTTTGACTGTTGGACTTGGTTGTGGATTAAGTTCACCGTCTGTTTCTCCTGTTAGGATTATTTTGGGGGATGCTTTTTCACTCTTTTTCACTCTTCTGAAACCAGTTTTCTTATCAGCAGCAAAACATGTTCCTAAGGTTAAAAAAATCACGAGCATCATTCCTAGATGATGCATTCAGGACTTGAAACAATAAAGGCTGCATATGCATAATGCAACACTTTCTTTAAAATCTAGTACATATAAAAACAAAGCAAAATAAAACAAAAAAAACTTCTATCTTAGATTTTTAACTCTGTCATCCACTCATTTAATGAAACTCTAACTCTTTCAAATGTTACTTAAGAAAAAGTTTAATTTGCAGATTTTTGCCGCTGTACCTGGAGTGTCAGGTTAATCTGCCTTTCTGGCCCCAACTACAGAACTTTTGTTACATAATAATTCTACCTCTGTGGTCTTGCCCCCCCTTTCCTATATCCTTCGTACCAGTCACTTCGTACCAGTCACACTTCATTGCCACGGGTGATTGAGCCTTCCCCACCCTCGCCAGCTTCCACTGAGGGTCCCGATGCCGCAGACAGCGACTCATCTGTCTACACTGCCTCCTCTTCGTCTTCTTCATTTTCTTTCACCTCCTCTTCCTCCTTCTATGCCACCACCTCCTCCTCTAGCAGTAGTGACAAGGTCAGCCTGCAGGACACAGTGAACAGACTGGGATGGGCTTGCTTGTTTCAATACATTTGGCTTTCTTCATTCTTTCTCCTTTGGTTGGCTCAACCCATGCAAAGACTTTTCCTAGCTTGTTGCCTCTTTTCCCCTGCTGTTGTCACCGACAGTAGATTATGCACCTTTCTTTCCCCCCTCATTTTGAGGTATTCCCTCCTGAAAATCAGATGCGTTTTGATAAAAGCAAGCAGCTTTGACATCCCATGTGACTGGCCTGGAGTGAAGTTCAAAAGGAGAGGCATGAAGGCCAACTTTTTTTTTTTTGTTTTTTTTTTGTTGTTGTTGTTGTTGTTGTTGTAATTCTTCAGATTTGGTTCTCTCTACCATTTGAAGAGGCTGTGACGGGCTTTTGTTCCAGCCAAACTTGGAGAATAAGACAATATTCACATTTTCCTCTCTCTTCTTTTTTATTGTACCATTAAATTGGTTTATCTTGCGAGGGAGAGTTGTTCTTACCAAGCTACTTTACTGTCAGAAGTCATGCAAACCAAAACCAAGAGAATAACATGCACTTTAGAAGAGCTGTAGTTCTGCTTAACAAAAAATATTGTTAGCATTTCAGGGTCAGGTTGGAGCAAGAGCTTGGTCTTCCTCTGGATTGTTGACTTTTTAAGCTTGTGCTTTTTCCTGTATGCAGTTGATTTGCTGTGAATTGTGTTGACCCAAGCATGATTCAGTAGACCTGTTTAATGGGGGAATTTTTTTTTAAATTTAATTTGTAGTTTTAGTCATTTGTTATGTTTTTCCTCTGTCCAGTAACTAACTCGGTGAGTCGAAACTATTAGGTATCATGTGCATGCAGTTACATTTCAAAGTTTGGCAAACTGCCAGTTCTAATACATTTATGAATTTGAGTTTTCCCTTCTGAAGATGGTTTCTTTTTAATTTATTTGTGTGTGTGTGTGTGCTTGTGTGTGCATAAGGTTCTGGATGGCAGTGAGAGTCAGTACTCTGGAATGCAGATTGGAACACTACAGGATGAAGAAGATGAAGGAACAGCACCTTCCTCCCAAGAAGAACCCCAAGAACCATTCCTGCAGTCAGCACTTGGTGCGTTTGTGTACACAGCTATGCACACATAAACGCAGATGGGCTCTGCCTAATAGAAAGCTTTAATGGTGGTTATTGTTTCTGTGTATAGCTCTTAGCAAGCCTCATCTCTTCGACGGCCGCGGTCACAACCGGCAGGGTTCAGACAGCAGTGTGGACCGTTTCATACCAAAGGATGAACCTGCTGAACCCGAGCCCGATAACAAGGTAAAGTGACTTAAAACTCTCCGTGCTTGTCATATATGGTTGAAGTGAAAGGTTAACATTATGTCACTTGTCTGCTTTTCTGTCAGCCATCACGCATAAAAGGTCCAATTGGGCACTATACAGACCACAGTGCTGAGCCATTAGTGCACTGTGTCCGGCTTCTTGCTGCTTCCTTCCTACTGACAGGACAAAAAAATGGTGAGTGGGTGTTCTGCTCAATACCAAATTTTTTTTTTTCGTTTTGAAACTGAAAATTTGACTCCTTGATCTGATTGTCAAAATATATCTAACAGCAAAGTACAACTTCTACTCTCAGGCCTCTCGTATATCGGAGTTGTGCTTGTTCCTGTGACTTTTTGACATCTGTGTGTGTTATTATTTGCTTTGTGTTTCTTCAGGCTTGATTCCTGACAAAGAGGTGCGAGTAAGTGTGAAAGCCTTGGCTCTCAGCTGTGTTGGAGCAGCGGCAGCGCTGCATCCTGATGCCTTCTTTAACTCCCTCTATTTGGAGCCGCTGGACGGCGTTCCAGTTGTAGGTAAGAACTGGAAAAAAAACCCCAAAACTGCTCCTATCTAGTAGATTTCTAAGTAACGTGCAATAGTAAACCAGTGTGTATGCTCCCAGTACTGAAACTAATAATAATAATAATGATGGATTGGATTTATATAGCGCTTTTCAAGGCACCCAAAGCGCTTTACAATGCCACTATTCATTCACTCTCACATTCACACACTGGTGGAGGCAAGCTACGGTTGTAGCCACAGCTGCCCTGGGGCAGACTGACAGAAGCGAGGCTGCCATATCGCGCCATCGGCCCCTCTGGCCAACACCAGTAGGCAAGTAGGGTAAAGTGTCTTGCCCAGGGACACAACGACCAGGACAGAGAGCCCGGGGATCGAACCGGCGACCTTCCGGTTACAGATGCGCTTCCCAACCCCCTGAGCCACGGCCGCTAAATAGAATCCAGCTATTGTTACTTGCATTTTGACATGTGCGTTTCATACTCTGATTTGGAAAAAAATGTCTTGTTTGAAGGCGCTCTGCACAACATGTGTTACAGTGAAAGCATCTTTCATTTACAGAATAGTAACTTATTTGTACAACTGTATTTGTGTGCCTTTTAACACTATTTGGCATTATTATTATTATTATTATTATTATTATTATTATTTATTTATTATTATTAATTTATTTATTTATTTATTTATTTACCTTTTCAGAGCAACAATATATTAGTGATGTCCTGGGCCTCGTTGACCATGGAGACCCCCAGATTAGAGGAGCTACAGCTATCCTATGTGCAGCCATCATACAGGCTGCGCTCACCAAAACACGTTTCAACATACACACTTGGCTGGCCAGTGTGCAGAGTGCAACAGGTTTGTGTGTTGGTCTTTGTCTTACTTGCATCTTGCAAAGAATTGAGAGTATTTAAAGATGCCTATCATACCTGTCTGTCTGTACTCTAGGTAACCCACTGTCCCTGGTGGACTTGGTGCCTTTGCTTCAGAAGACTTTGAAAGATGAATCCTCTGTCACCTGCAAGATGGCTTGCTCTGCAGTGAGGGTAAGATGGTTTTGTGTGAGTGTGTTGGTAATCTCTACTCTATCTCTGTCTTGCTTTGTCCCTCAAGTTCTTTTTTTGTGTCTGTGCTTTTGTTTGTGAGTCTGACCCATTGGTTTTTTGTGTGTGTTTTGTTTCAGCACTGCATCACAACTATTTGCAGCAGTACCCTGAGTGAGCTTGGCCTGCAGTTGGTGATTGACCTCTTTGCGCTGAAGGACTGCGGCTATTGGCTTGTTCGCACTGAGCTCTTGGAAACTCTGGCAGAATTAGACTTCCGGTAGGATACTTTTGTATCCTGATGCCTGTTATATACAGTCTCTGTTTTCTAAAAATAATAATAACTCAACTTTAAACTTAAGCTTGCCTTTACTTTGTATTACCTATAATTGCTTTTTAAAGTTGTTTTTTTTTTTTTTACTTTTTCCCGTGTTTTAGATTAGTTAATTTTTTGGAGAGGAAAACTGAGACTTTACATAAAGGAGATCATCACTACACTGGGGTAAGGTTATTTTCTGATTATTTTTTTTAATGATCTTTTCTTTGAAATATCCTTTCTGGGTTTCTGCATTCAGCTGTTGACTGGTGTTGTTTGTTTACAATTTTCTAGCGTCTGCGGCTGCAAGATAGAGTCCTGAATGATGTGGTCATACATCTGTTGGGAGATGACGATCCAAGAGTACGGCACGTGGCTGCCTCTGCGGTCAGAAGGTAAAATGCCTCTTCACATATAGCACGTGCTATGTTCTTTATGTAGTGAACTGTAAATAAGCCCTTTTTGACTTTTGTTATATCTCTCTTCCTGTCTCTTTACAGACTAGTTTCCAGGTTGTTCTATGACTGTGACCAAGGCCAGGTTGACCCAGTGGTAGCAATCGCCCGAGACCAGAGTTCAGTCTATCTGCAGCTGCTTATGCATGAGACACAACCCCCATCCCAGTTCACAGTTAGCACAATCACAAGGTACACACGCGCCCACACTTCCAGTATATCTCGTGCCTCATCAAAGGTCAGCTTAGCCTATATTACTATGAAGAAGTTCTCAACCTTGTTGACCTGGTTATCCTTTTTTTAGTACAATGTGTCTTATTGTACTCATTATAAGAGCTATTTTCAACCCTAGACATATTTTTCTTGTGATAAGAAATGCTTTGAGCCACAAGCTTTATAAGATTTTGCAGTTAAATACACAATTCCTGAGGGAACCTTGGAATAATTACTTAAAATTTTGTCGCCAGGACATACCGAGGCTACAACATGTCCAACACTATCTCTGATGTCACGTTGGAGAACAACTTGTCCAGAGTAGTTGCTGCCGTCTCGCATGCTTTGACCTCGTCTACCTCCAGAGCTCTAACTGTAGGTTTTCAGCTCATTGTTTGCCTGCTCTAAAGCACGTTTATGGCATTTGTTTCATAACATCTAAATATTTATCATGCTGTCTTCTCTGCAGTTTGGCTGCTGTGAGGCCTTGTGCCTTCTAGCTTCAAATTTTCCAGTGGGCAATTGGAGCACAGGCTGGCACTGTGGCTATGTTAGCTCCAATAGCAACTTTTCATCCCGTTCTAGTCTTAACCGCAGTAGGGGCAGAACCCTCAGGTTTGTATGCTGCACTGATGAATACATTTTTTTACATAATCATTTCAACTCTTTCTCTAGACTCCCCTTACCTTCTGTATGTTCACTCCTTTCTGCAGTTTATCACAGCCTAGCAGTGCTCCAGCCTCTTCAACCACCTCATCTGCACCAGATGCAGAGCGGAGAACTCTGACTGTAGGAATTGCCAACACAGTGCTCTCCTTATTGTCTTCTGCCTGGTTTCCACTGGATCTCTCTGCGCATCAGGATGCGCTGTTACTTTCTGGAAACCTCATAGCTGGTGGGTAATTTACTTTAAGAGTTTCAGGTATTTTACATATAATTTAATATGACATGAAGATGTTTTACTCTGACATTTGTTGATTCATCACTACCCTAATGATGTTCTCAGCTGTGGCTCCTAAATGTATGCGTAATCCCTGGGTTGGGGAGGAAGAAGGCAGCAGTGGGACCAGTAGTGGAGGCCCAAGTAAGTTGGAGGAACCCTGGGCCGCGCTATCAGAACGCTCCCTGGTGGTCATGGTGGAGCAACTCTTTTCCCATCTGCTGAAGGTCCTCAACATCTGTGCCCATGTGTTGGATGATACACCACCAGGACCAGCAATGAAGGTGCGTTTGATAAGGAGAGTTATTTGGTTTAACAGACTCATGAAAGAAAATATTTGGCACCATGCATTCAGGTGCATTTTACCACAAGTTTGATCCACAGGATGTCTGATATATTGTGTTCTGTTGTTGCATTCTATACCAACTTTATAGGCCACTCTCCCCTCCCTGAGCAACACCCCCTCCCTCAGTCCCATTCGTAGGAAAGGCAAGGAGAAGGAGGTTGCCGACCCCAGTGCCACCCCTATGAGCCCAAAGAAAGGCAGTGAGGCCAACACAGGTAAATGCCTCACCATGCTTAAAAAAGGGTACAGATCATCTCTGTGAGTCTCAGAATATTAAGTAGTGTTTTTCTAAGCAGGTAGGCCAACAGACAGTACAGGCTCAACAACTGTAAACAAATCGACCACCTTTGGCAACTTCTACCACCTGCCTCCCTACCTCAAGCTCTATGATGTGCTCAAAGCTACGCATGCCAACTATAAGGTCAGAACACTTCTTTGTTTAAACTTAAAATGATTTTAATAGATTTTTGCTGCCTGAATGGTGGTTTATGGATGGTCTAATGTTTTCTAGGTTACGTTGGACCTTCACAGTAGCCAAGAAAAGTTTGGAAGTTTCCTGCGCGCTACATTAGATGTTCTTTCTCAGCTGCTGGAGTTAGCCACACTTCATGACATCGGGAAGGTAAAGATGAATTTCATTGTCTTTCAGTGTTAAGTTTGGTGCGATCCCTTAACAAAGGGTCTTGTTCATTTCTTGTTAACAACCAATTTATTGATAATCTTCTTCTTTATCAATAGAAGAAGTAACCTTTTTTTCTTTTCTTTTAGTGTGTGGAGGAAATTTTGGGCTACCTCAAGTCCTGCTTCTCCAGAGAACCAACCATGGCCACAGTTTGTGTGCAACAGGTTAGTATGTTATGTGTTAATGCCTGTGAATTTTAGATGCATATCCTTTTGAATGTGTGGCAGTCTTTGTGGTTCTAGCACTGAGCAGTGTGCTGCAGCCGGTGTGACTCCACACAAAGTGAGGCTGGTTCCTGCCGACAGGGCCTGTAAAGGCATTGGTTCCCCTGTGCGATGGTTCCATACATTCATGTATTTATAGAACAACACACATTAGTATTCTGTCTCAGTGGTAATCTAGTTTTCAGTTTCTTTGATAAGTCCACAGACATACTAAAGGGACTTTAAGGGAGCGTAGGAAGTCAGTGTTTAAGGGGTTATTCACAGCATGTCAATTATGAATAAAAGCAGAATTAAATGGTGAAGTGATTTTGGTTATATAACTATTAATCCTACGGGTGGAGGAGCTTCTAAAGAAAAGAGGTTTCACTGGAGCTTAATTATTGCTGTGTTTTGGGGGGGGAAAAGAAAGGGAATACTTCAAATATATCAACTGGATTCTCAAATTTTATGTAAAGTTAAAAATTATAGTGTTTTTGTATATTTATGTTTATATATATTTGCAAAAGAGTTCTTGTGTTAATAAGTTGACTTATTCTCCAGCTGTTGAAGACACTATTTGGGACCAACCTGGCCTCCCAGTATGAGGGCGTGTTGAGTGGACCCAGTCGGTCCCAGGGCAAAGCTCTACGTCTTGGCTCTTCCAGCTTGCGGCCAGGACTCTACCACTACTGCTTCATGGCTCCATACACTCACTTTACCCAGGCTCTTGCTGATGCAAGCCTCCGTAACATGGTGCAGGCTGAACAGGATCAGGATACCTCTGGGTGAGTTCTAGTAACACATGTCTCCCATACGTATGCATAGATGTCCTTATTTAGGAAATCGCAAACGCTCCTTTTTTTTTCTGTGACTTTCTGCACATATTTATTCTCCACCCCTGCACATGCTTATAGTGTGTGTGTGTGTGTGTGCGCCTATCTAGCTATCTTTGTGAGGACCGAAATCTGCATTCTACTATACTTGTGAGAACCGACAGTCACTTGTGAGGACACACACACCGGTCCTCACAAGTTTGAAGGCCTTTTTGAGGCTCAAAATGTGGTTTTGGTGTCAGGGTTACAATTAGGTTATGGTTAGGTTTAGGGTAAGGGTTAGGGTTAGTCATTCATTTTTAAAGGTTAGGGTAAGGGGCTAGGGAAAGCATTATGTCAATGAACGTCCTCACTGAGATAGCTGAACGGGCTTGTGTGTGTGTGTGTGTAAGTAATATAAAATGTATGAACTAAGTGCGATAATAAGTCTGTGCTTTTTCTTCTTCTTTTTTTCTTTAATTTAAGATGGTTTGATGTAATGCAAAAAGCATCCAATCAACTGAGATCCAGCATCACAAATGCAGCGCGTCACAGAGGAGACAAGGTACCCTTTCATTGTCTTGCTGCTGTTCCATACTGATATTATGCGCTAAGAGTCGCTTATGTGGTCTGCTGCTGTTTTGAGAGTTGCATCTTGTGTTTTCTCAGAATGCCATTCATAACCACATTCGACTGTTTGAGCCGTTGGTGATCAAAGCTTTGAAGCAGTATACCACCAGCACATCTGTGGCGCTGCAAAGACAAGTACTGGACCTGCTTGCTCAGCTTGTGCAGCTCAGAGTCAACTACTGCCTGCTAGACTCAGACCAGGTAAAACAAACACATGCACTTTTTTTTTTTTTTTTTTTTTTTTTTTTTGGTCGTCTCCAACTTCAAATTTTATAGTATGGCTCATTCAGAAATTTATGTTTTAGGTGTTTATTGGCTTCGTCCTGAAACAGTTTGAGTACATTGAAGTGGGGCAGTTCAGGTATGTTTTGAGTCAGTAAAAATTTCAGATTTCTCGTGTGTGTGTGTGTGTGTGTGTGTGTGTGTGTGTGTGTGTGTGTGTGTGTTTATATTGTGTGTTATAGTGTGTGATATTATGTGTGTGTGTGTGTGTGTGCATATATAAGTGTGTGCATATATAAGTGTGTGTGTGTGTGTGTGTGTACACACACACACACACACACACACACACAACACACAAACACACACACAAACACACAACACACACACACACAACACACAAAATAAATAATAATAATAATTATTATTATTATTTTTTTTTAAAGCTTGTCACATATGTTTCCTGGGAAATAAAATAACTGTCTGCATCACTTACAGAGATTCAGAGGCCATCATTCCCAACATCTTTTTCTTCCTGGTGCTGCTGTCTTATGAACGCTACCACTCCAAGCAGATTATCAGCATTCCCAAGATCATCCAGCTGTGTGATGGCATTATGGCAAGTGGCAGAAAAGCTGTCACACATGGTGAGAGGAATGCATATGACTTATATAATTTTTAATTCCTCTTTTAACTTCCAAAGGTTTTCTTGTTGATGGTTACATTTACACTTTTCTGCTTCGTCTACAGCCATCCCAGCCTTGCAGCCTATAGTTCACGATCTGTTTGTCTTGAGGGGCTCAAACAAAGCTGACGCAGGCAAGGAGCTGGATACACAGAAAGAAGTTGTGGTCTCCATGCTGCTAAGACTTGTGCAGTACCATCAGGTATGTTTACAAGTAGATGCAGAGACACAGCATGCTACATCATCAGATATTCAACCCACTTGTTCTCTGCCTTGCTCATGCTTTCATGTGTCTGCTGCAGGTGTTGGAGATGTTCATTCTTGTACTGCAGCAGTGTCACAAAGAGAATGAAGACAAGTGGAAGAGATTATCCAGACAGATTGCAGACGTCATACTTCCCATGATTGCCAAGCAGCAGGTAGGAAATTGTTTGCAAGTTTATATGTTGGATTAACCTTGATGGTTAAAGCCAACTAATTTTTGCAGCAATTTATACAGATGCGTGATCAGGCAATTTCTGTTTGTTTCAGTAAGCATATTTGTATGTTTGGTCTACACAGATGCATCTGGACTCTCCAGAGGCATTAGGAGTATTAAACACTCTGTTTGAGACGGTGGCACCCTCCTCTCTCAGACCTGTTGACATGCTGCTCAAGAGTATGTTCACCATCCCAGCCACCATGGTGAGACATCTCATCACATAGCGTGCACTTTTTCACAATTTCTCTAGTTTTTCAGTGACTGATTTATTAAAAAAAACCCCAAAAAAACAGGAAAAGGTAAGATTTGATGTGAAATCTGACATTGGTTCTTGCAGGCATCTGTAGCTACAGTCCAGCTGTGGGTATCTGGTATCTTGGCAGTGCTTAGGGTACTGGTCTCGCAGTCCACTGAAGACATTGTGCTTTCCCGTGTCCATGAGCTGGCACTCTCTCCAAATCTCCTCTCTTGCCACGCTATCCGCCGCCTGCATCAGCATAGCCCCTCCCCAAACGACCCGCCTGCTGCTGACACAATCTACAAACAGGAAACTAATGGTGAAACGCCAAAGGCTCCACCTGAGGAAACATTTGCCAGGTTATTATTTACTATCTTTAACAGGCTGAGAAAGGTTTCTACTCTGCTCTGTTTTCTCAGCTACCAGATTGCCTCCAAGGGTCTAACTCTTCTTGCCTTTTTACTTTCTTTCACTTCTCTCTTTTCCACCTCCCATCTAGATTCCTTCTCCAGCTTGTAGGTGTGTTGTTGGATGACATTTCAACCAGGCAGGTTAAAGTGGAGATCACTGAGCAGCAGCACACCTTCTACTGCCAGCAGCTGGGCACGCTGCTCATGTGTCTCATACACGTTTTCAAAAGTGGTAAGCATGTAAAATCTGGGAAATGCACAAACTGTATGATATTTTAAAAATAATATATCAAATATAATTCAGATTAAGTTCTTTTACCTATTTTTCATTTTTGTTCCCTCCTAGGAATGTTTCGCAGGATCACAGCTGCAGCCAGCCGTCTCCTGAAGGGTGAGAATGGACAGACAGCCACAGAGGCCAACCTCTTCTACCCCTTAGAAGGTCTGAACAGCATGGTACAGTGCCTCATCACCACCCACCCATCCCTTGTGCTCCTCTGGTGCCAAGTTCTTCTCATCATTAACTACACCAACTACTCTTGGTGGGCTGAGGTTCATCAGACACCCAGGTAAGAACAGTGCGAGGGGATTAACTGGGGTCAGGTGTATTTGTGTGCACTTTTTAATTATTATAAATGAGTCAATGAGGATATAAAATGAGGAAAAACTCTCCTTTTTAAAACTGTGCCTTGTTTTCTTTTTATCAGACGACACAGTCTCTCATCCACAAAGCTGCTGAGCCCTCATTCCTCAGGGGAAGGTGAAGAGGACAAGCCTGAGTCCCAGTTAGCAATGGTTAACAGAGAGATTGTACGCAGGGGAGCTGTAATCCTCTTCTGTGACTATGTGGTAAGATTACTAAGAATATGGGACCATACTGTTGGGATAAATTATACATAGATCACGATATACTATTCTCAGCTAGAAAATATGTTGAAAATTACATTTGGATATATTTGCTCTTTACTATCTATGAAGAACAATATTTAAATCTCAAAACACTAATGAGCAAAAGTAAATTAGATTTGTAAGTGCTTTACATAGGAAGGTTGCCGGTTCGAGCCCCGGCTTGGACAGTCTCGGTTGTTGTGTCCTTGGGCAAGATACTTCACCCGTTGCCTACTGGTGGTGGTCAGAGGGCCCGGTGGCGCCAGTGTCCGGCAGCCTCGCCTCTGTCAGTGCGCCCCAGGGTGGCTGTGGCTACAATGTAGCTTGCCATCACCAGTGTGTGAATGTGTGCGTGAATGGGTGGATGACTGGATATGTAAAGCGCTTTGGGGTCCTTAGGGACTAGTAAAAAGCGCTATATAAATACAGGCCATTTACCATTTACATAATAAAAGCATTGTTTTTTTTCTTACCTTTGTAGTGTCAGAATCTCCATGACTCGGAGCATCTCACCTGGCTGATTGTCAATCATGTTCGTGACCTCATCAGCCTTTCCCATGAGCCGCCAGTGCAGGACTTCATAAGTGCTGTCCACCGCAACTCTGCTGCCAGTGGCCTCTTCATCCAGGCCATCCAATCCCGCTGTGACAACCTCACTACTGTAAGATGACATCCTATTCATCTTTCTAATCTCTTGACTACCTGGTGGAAATTTTTATTTTGTTTTTTAATTCTCAATTTATCTTTCTTCCCTGTCCCTGCATTTTACTCATTTCATGCCCCACTGCCCTCCCTTACTATCTCGTTCTCTTCGTCTTTGTAGCCTACCATGTTGAAAAAGACCTTACAGTGTTTGGAAGGCATCCACCTTAGTCAGTCTGGATCTCTACTGATGCTATATGTTGACAAGCTTCTTAACACACCCTTTCGCGTTTTGGCTCGCATGGTGGACACACTGGCGTGTCGCAGGGTAGAGATGTTGCTGGCTGAGACCTTACAGGTACGTTTTAGTAAAGTGTGTATTTCATTGGAAGTGCACCTAAAAGCTGAACATGTTTCTTATGTTTTTCCCGGTCCAATTTGGGACCTGTTCTCGAATTTTAAAGTGATCAGATGGGAAGAACTGTTAAAGTCAAACTTTTTGTATGTTTAAAAACCCTGATTGTGTTCATTCTTTCACCCTTCAGAACAGCATAGCACAGCTTCCTGTGGAGGAACTGGATAGGATCCAAGAATATCTCCAGAACAGTGGTTTAGCTCAGAGGTAAAACCTTGTGTACTGCATCCATTATGAGAGCTACCCCAAAGTTTGTATTTTTGTTTTAAGTGTGATTTTTATTTTATTTTATTTTTTATTTTATTTTATTTTTTTTTTTGTGCCTGTTGAAATTAGTTTTGCCCTTGGATTAGTCACCTGTTCAGACCACATTGAAAGGATAGACTGAGGAATTGTATGTTGTTTGGATTTCCCAAATATCGCATTTTAATTTGTGTGCATTATCTCGTGTTGAGTTAATTTACCCAGTAGGTTATTGAGAGGGCTGTACTGAATCTGCAGGTTCTTATATCGATATGTTAACTAAAAACAAATTTCAATTTATTTATTTATTTTTTAAATTGTAAATTTTTTTTGTTTGGTTATTTCTGTCCCAGACATCAGAGGTTCTACTCCCTGCTGGACAGGTTCAGAGCCACTGTTGTTGACACAAGCAGTCCCACTCCTCCAGTGACATCACATCCCTTGGACGGGGATCCTCCGCCCGCTCCTGAGTTGGTCATTGCAGACAAGGTGAGGAACTAGACTTGATGACTCTAATAATCCAGGTTTGTCAGACTGTGCAGACCATCTGTTTACCTGTTTGTTTGTTTGTTTGATTTTAGGAGTGGTATGTGGCTCTGGTGAAGTCTCAGTGCTGTCTCCGTGGAGATGTTTCCCTGTTGGAGATGACAGAACTTCTTACCAAACTACCTCCTGCTGATCTCTTCAGTGTCATGAGCTGCAAGGTAAAGAACGTACACACTGTCTTATTATGCACTTAAATTTTATCATCTGCATAATAGAAGCATCCAGACACATTGGTGCTCCAGTGCGCAAACATTAGCCCACAGTGATGATAAAAAAAATCTTAAATATGTAAATTCCTGTATATTAGGGCTTTTTTATTTTATTTTTTTTAGGATTTCGCATATGAACCTGGAATTCTGTCCTTTTTTTTTCCACCCAGGAGTTCAATCTAAGCCTTCTCTGTCCATGCTTGAGTATGGGAATGCAGCGGTTAGCACGCGGTCAGGGGTCACTTTTGTTGGAGACAGCGCTGCAGGTGACCCTCGAACAACTAGCAGGGGTCACCGGGTCACTTCCTGCACCTCACCAGTCTTTTCTGCCACCGTCCCAACCCCAGCCCTACTGGGACCAGCTGGGTGATGTGTATGGTGAGACTGGGAAGGAGGGGGAAAATGGATCAGAAAAAAGTTAGCAAAAAACCCCCACAAGTATCTGTTCTGTCTGGGTTTTTGTTCACTGGAGTCTTTTAATTAAATTTAGCTCAAAATAAAGTTTTGATTCATTATTTTCCTAAATTCTTTACCGTATGTTTCAGATGAACCAGGGTTCTACCCCAGAGTTTTGTCACTCTGTAGAGCACTATCTCAATACCTGCTAAGTGTGAGCCAGCTCCCTTCTTCACTACATATTCCCTCAGACAAGGAGCACCTCATCACCACCTTCACCTGCACTGCCACTGAGGTAAACGACTGATTTGATTTGAGAAAATTAAAGCTTGAAGACCATGTCAAATTAGTATGATATGACTGCTTTGCACAACCTTTGATTTCTTTACAACTGTCTTAAACCTTTGTGAATGTGACATCATGGTTACACAGGTTGTAGTGTGGCGTCTGCTCCAGGACCGGCTGCCCCTGAGCGTGGACTTGCAGTGGGCACTTTCTTGCCTGTGTCTGGCGTTGCAGCAGCCCTGCGTCTGGAACAAGCTCTCCACCCCAGAGTACACCACCCATACCTGCTCCCTCATTTACTGCCTTCGCCTTATTATTGTTGCAGGTAATCAAAGCAGAAAGATGCATTTTTGCACTTTTTTGTAATATCTTTGCTAATTAAAAGTCTTTCACCTTTCCCTCGCAGTGGCTGTGAGTCCTGGTGACCAGCTGCTGCATCAAGAGAAGAAAATGTCAAAAGGAGAAAAAGATGATGGAGACCAAGTGGATGCAGCACATGCTGACCGTAAGAATCTTATTAGACACTGAGTTAAAGTTCAGGGTTGTTTCATGTAGTTTTATTATTGCAGTCATCTTTTTTTTTTTGTTGTTGTTGTTGTGAGTAATTCTTCTCAGATGAAAGCCTTAGGATAACATTTAAGTCTTTGTGTTACAGACATGTGTGAGTGGCAAGCATGTGAGATCATGGCTGAGCTGGTGGAGGGTCTGCCGAGCATCCTTTCCCTTGGTCATCGTAGAAACTCCATTTTACCCACTTTTCTCACACCAACATTGCGCAACATTGTTATCAGTCTGTCTCGGCTTCCTCTGGTCAACAGCTACACCAGAGTACCTCCACTGGTGAGTTTTTGAAAGAAGTTGTGCCAGTAGGTAACTGAATTTAACACATAATTAAAATCTATTTCTTCTTCTTTTTTTAAAAAAAAAAAAATCTGTTTATATGCTCTGTCTTTGTGGTTTAGGTTTGGAAACTGGGCTGGTCCCCTCAGCCAGGAGGAGAGTTCGGCACAACGCTGCCTGAGATCCCTGTGGACTTCCTTCAGGAAAAGGATGTCTTCAGAGAGTTTCTTTACCGTATCAATACGTTGGGTACAGAAACATACAATCAGTCCATTCTTATCACATCGATGATGCTTTCATTTTTTAAATTACATTTTTTTTTAAGTATACATTTTTTGTTGTTTTTAAAAAAAAACAAACCTATGCATTAAGCATCTGTGTGGGTTTTTGGTTGTTCAGGCTGGAGCAGCAGGACTCAATTTGAGGAGACCTGGGCTACTCTACTAGGGGTGCTGGTCACCCAACCCATCACTAAAGACCAGGAGGAGGACCCGCAACAGGAGGTATGCACACAACTTGAACTCTAGAAATGTTACTGGGAAGAAAGATTTATGGAAGTACAAACTTTGCAGCATGCTCATATGAACTGAACTATTTGTTTATATTGGAGTATGTAATAGTCTATATTTTTGTCATGTGTCATTTAGCACATGCTCTAAATATTATGATGCCTTGCAAAAAGATAATACATCTGTTGCCGTCTTATTGCATGTCTTTCTTATTTGTTTTTCTCTAGGAGGACTTGGAACGTACCCAGTTGAATGTGTTAGCAGTGCAAGCCATCACCAGCCTGGTGCTGAGTGCCATGACCCTTCCCACTCCTGGCAACCCAGCAGTTAGCTGTCTGGAACAGCAGCCTCGCAACAAGAGCCTAAAAGCCCTGGAAACACGGTAGTTATGGTTCTAATATTTGTAACTGTGCAGCTGCCTAAAATGAGCAAGTGACAGACAGATCAGATTATTTTTACCCTTTTGCTAATGTTTATGCTCAGGTTTGGAAGGAAACTTGCAGTGATTAGAGGTGAGGTGGAGAGAGAGATTCAAGCGCTTGTGTCAAAAAGGGACAACGTCCATACATACCACCCATACCATGCCTGGGATCCTGTGCCCTCACTATCAGCAGCTTCTGCAGGTAATAGAAAAAGTGCAGTGACACTCTCATTAGCCTCAGCTTGTTCATTTCATCAACCACTTCTTAAAATGTATTTGTAAAGTAACTGCTTGACTTATTTGTTTCAGCAGGTACGCTGATCAGCCATGAGAAACTGCTCCTTCAGATCAACACAGAGAGGGAGATGGGCAACATGGAATACAAACTGGGGCAGGTAGGAAACATAGGAAAGAGTAAACTGTAATGGAGCTTTTTAGGAACAATGTATATGTTGTCAGCAGGGCAACAGTTGTTCTTTTTTTCTTTTTTTAACATTATGAACAAATATGTTTGGTTTTTTTTTACTTGGCATGTCACTCTCCAGGTCTCCATCCATTCAGTGTGGTTGGGTAACAACATCACGCCTCTCAGGGAGGAAGAGTGGGGTGAGGATGAAGAAGATGAGGCAGACACTCCGGCGCCCACCTCCCCACCTTTATCTCCTATAAACTCTAGGTTAGTCAAATAAACACAACATTATACATATGTGTACATATTCCTTCAGTGCACAGGAGGCATCTTGCTGTAAGTTAAGATGAGACACTCTAAGTGACTGTTTGTGTTTCTTTCAGAAAACACCGTGCAGGCGTGGATATTCATTCATGTTCTCAGTTTCTCCTGGAGCTCTACAGCCAGTGGCTGATCCCCAGCTCTCCAAGTAACAGGAGAACCCCAACCATCCTCGTCAGTGAAGTGGTCCGATCGGTGAGATATGATGCATGTGCTTAGTTAAAACTCATTCACCTAAATATCTGATCTTAAAGACCAGTAGACTGTCCTTCACTGATGTGACAGAATACACTTAGGTGAAACTTTACTCTTTAATTTAGACATATTAAAATGTCTGTTCTGGCAGCTCGAAATGAGCCTGAGACCAGAGCCATGCTTACTCTGTCAGCTGATTGTACACTCTTGTCCTTCCCTGTAGCTGCTGGCAGTGTCAGATCTGTTCACAGAAAGGAATCAGTTTGATATGATGTTCTCCACCCTGATGGAGCTGCAGAAGCACCATCCACCCGAGGATGAGATCTTGAATCAGTACCTTGTGCCGGCCATCTGTAAGGCAGCAGCTGTTTTGGGCATGGTGAGAGGAGCTGTGTGTGATGGGACCTGAGATGGTTCAAGATGTGTTTGAGTTATCAATATAGCAGCACGCCACTGCTCCCACTATATAAAACTTTTAAATTTACATTTATAGGACAAGGTAATAGCCGAGCCCGTGTGTCGCCTTTTGGAGACGACCCTGCGCAGCACTCACCTTCCCAGCCGCATGGGAGCCCTGCATGGGGTGCTGTATGTGTTGGAATGTGACCTTCTGGATGACACAGCTAAACAGCTCATCCCCACTGTCTCTGAGTACCTTCTATCGAACCTCAAGGCTGTTGCTCAGTGAGTATAAATGTCATGCCTGTGCAGACGTTGACCTTAACTCATCTTCTAATGAGCTTAAGTGATGAAAGAGCCTTGGGAACTAATGTGTCTAATGTCAGTGTGTGTGACCACCCCACCTTCCTCCTCTGTAAGAGGATCTGCGAATTAATTAGTTTTCATCCAGCTTAATACAGCGATGGAACCACGAGTGCAGTGCAACTGTTGGCCCTTAGATGCTGCTTTTTACATTTCAGATAAATACAGACAGTGGCGGATTAAGAGGAAAACCTGAACTCTTGACCTCCTACTGGGAGGGTATCTGTTTTGCTAAATGCACCAAGTTGCTTGCAGGGTTAAATCCATCTGTAGACCGAACGGAGATTAATACTAAGTGATCACCTTTAAGATAGAAATGCTTCATGGGATAACGTGTGTGTTGTCTTCCAGAATGACAATGGGGCATTCTAGGATCACTGACAGGTTGGAGTATAGAAATGGTATGAATCACACGCTGTAGCATTTGCTGCCAGCAGGTCTTCCAACTATGGGATGTTTTGGACCTGCGTTTTAGCTAGAACTCTCACCATTGCGGAAACACTTCTGGAGTTACAGAGATTGTTGTTACTGAAGCTGTTCTAGCCCAGCATCTTATTAACACTTTATGCTGTCATTTACTTTATGTTGGCATTCATCTGTAGCCACTGGAATGTATATTTTTCTGTTTAATTATAATGATTTTTTTCTACTTGCTGTGTGTCGCCCATCTCTATTCTGCAGCTGTGTGAACCTGCATAACCAGCAGCATGTGTTGGTGATGTGTGCAGTGGCTTTCTACATGATGGAGAACTACCCTTTAGATGTGGGAGCTGAATTTATGGCTGGAATAATACAGGTAAAGTAAAATAAATCCAATTACCTGACAGCTGGGCAGTAAATGATGTTTACCCTGCTAGCTCAAAGTACAAAGTCTGACTGATGTCTGACTGTGCACATGTGAGCATGGACAAAATTGTGTGGCACATTGACCTCTGTTGAGAGGATGTCATGTATTCTGCCACCTGCACGCTCTCTCCAGGCAGCATCCTTGCTTAAACCAGAGTATTTCCTGTAGTGAGAACAAGAAGCAGACCTCCTTCCTGTGTCCTGATCTGATTCTCCTGATGCTGTCCAGAGTTCAGAAGTGAAAATGGCTGCAGGAAGCTCACATATTGCACAATAAAATGAAAGCAAAAACATAAAATATATATATTTAAGCATCTTGAAGAAAAAAAAGTATTTTGATTTAGTGCCATGTGCCCTTTATCTTTTGCACTTTCTAATAATGTCTTCTTCCTCATCTTCGTCTTCTAGTTATGTGGCGTGATGGTGTCAGCCAGCGAGGACTCCACTCCCTCCATCATCTATCACTGCGTGCTTCGTGGTCTTGAGCGCCTCCTTCTGTCAGAGCAGTTGTCACGGATGGACGGTGAAGCGCTGGTCAAACTCAGCGTGGATAGAGTCAACATGCCATCTCCACACAGAGCCATGGCTGCTCTGGGCCTCATGCTTACCTGCATGTATACTGGTAAGCAAGGCTTTAACATGACTGCTAACTTTAACGTCATCAAAAATGTGTTGCTGGCATCCTGGCTTAATCACTGGTATGCACAATTAGGACTGGTGTTAGTGCTGCTGCATTCCCAAGCAACTCAAAACCTGCTATAGCATCAAGCTAGCTGGCTAACTCTGATGTAATACTTTGCATCAGGTCTTTTCAAAGAAACAGATAAACTTGCAGGTCTTTAAGTTTTCTACTTAAATGCTTTGCCACAGTGAGCTTTTTCCCCCCCATTTAATCCCTCCGGACTAATCCTTGACCCTCTTCTTACTAACATTATGTAATGTGTACTGTCCCCCTCAAAGAGTCAGACCCCATACCCCACATACAAATGATTTGCCTTTGCGATAGTCAGTTAGAAAACAAGAATGTAGAGGGATCTAATTGATCAAGTATTAATAATCTATAGGCTAAAAGTGGAGAGGAATGCATAGCGGTCTCTAAGCCTAGTAAATGGCTAACTGACAAACTTATGAATGACTGTGCATGCTGCTTTAGCAAGCACCTCGTATTGTTGTTGGTGGTCTGTGTATATGTATATAATTGGGCAGCAACAATTCATCAAGTAATTTGAATAATTCGATTATAAAAAAATCCTGACACAAATTCCTTTTGTGCTTCGATGCTTCATTTAAAGCACGGCATAGTAGCGAGCTGATGTGTTAAATGATGTAAACGTTGATAACGTGATACAAATGTATTTAGGAGCAACGTATGAATAAAGAGTCCGACAACATTAAGCCCACGCAGGCCCCAGTTTTAAACAAAAGCACTGATAACACAGCAGCAGTGATTATGACGCTAGCACAGTGTAACGTTGAGCCAGAGTCTGTTTAACACTGTAAAGAGCAAAGAGGCGGTGCTATTAGTGAGCTATAGATAGTGAGCTCAGGTAGAGTGAAAGAAAATGTGTTTCTAGTGTCCAAAACAGCAGCGCTAATTCTGTAATTAAAATGTTTACTGGGTTCACTTCATCCCATATCTGAAACCGAATCATTACAAATACACCAGCAGTTTTGCATTGTGCTCTTTACCTGTGGCCTCTTTACACTTGCTACCACTACTAACACATTCTCACTAAGAATCACAGCATACCTTTTGTTAGTGATTTCATTCATTATGTCTCTATTACAGCATAACTGCATTTTAAAACTTGGCAGTACTTCATTTTGAGCATAACGCTTGTACACCCGCTTGCTTCCTGCATGTAATAGATGTTATACATACTGTACTTCTGGTATACCTACCTCTAACCCTTACGCTGGACCTTACTAACTCTACCAGCTCTTAGCGTGCCCTCGTCTTTATGCTAATACACTAATATGAAGTTCTGTTGCTTAGGCTAGCCAGCAAATTCCTTGACAAAACCCCAGCTCTTTTAAATGCAAACAGGTTGAATAAATTTTTGTATATCTCTCTGTGCTGTATGTACAAACTGAAGCACATTTGGGCCACAGCAGTGAGTACCCAGGAAGCATGGCATTTAAATTCCCTCAAATCATTTAAACACCAGTCACTTACAGAAAAAAACTTAAGAATGTAATTTGACTTAAAGTAGCGCCCATAAATTAACAAATTTTCTGTTTGAGATGAACAAAATTCTGATCTGAATCTTGTGATATGAGTTTCCCGAATTCCGCTCTAACCTTTGCCCCACTGGTTCAACCGGTGCCACCCCCCTTCTCGTCTTCTCAGCTGTGCTTACGTCGGGTTCAGACGTGACAGGGGTTAGAGGTCAGGTTGACTCTGCTGTATCGGAGGCGGTGGGCGTCACGGCGGGTCATGTTGGTTTCTCTTCAGGCAAGGAGAAAGCCAGTCCTGCCAGCCGCCCCGCCCATTCTGATCCTCAGGCCCCAGACAGCGAGTCAATCATTGTTGCCATGGAGAGGGTCTCTGTGCTCTTTGACAGGTACACTGCTGCTACACTCTGACACACACACACACACACACACACACACATCTGCCATCATACAAATAGCTTTGGTAGTTGGAAAGATGATTGTTAGTTTAGTACTTTAAAAAATGATCAGATTGTCGCAACAGATTGACTTTCTTTTGTAACTTATTTTGTTTCCAGTCTTGATTTGCTCTTCTTCTGGTGTTTCCTGTTTGTAGGATTAGGAAGGGTTTACCCAGTGAGGCTCGTGTGGTGTCCAGGATTCTGCCACAGTTTCTGGATGACTTCTTTCCGCCACAGGACGTCATGAACAAGGTCATAGGAGAGTTCCTGTCTAATCAGCAGCCTTATCCGCAATTCATGGCGACAGTCGTCTACAAGGTCAGCAGCAGAACACGAGTACACTCACATCAACAAAACAAGCAAAATGTTTACATTTTTAAAAAATGAAAATCTTGAACATCAGGCTTTTAGTTGTTTAATTTATTTCTTTGGTCACACAAGTGCTGCACTATAACTGTTTTTCACATCCCATTGTCCTATTTACAACATCACACTGGAACAAATACAGTGAGTTCTTGTTATTTTCCCAAAAATGTAAATCAAGGTACATTTCAGCGCAGTTAGTAACACTTGAATTTGAGTGAGAGCAATGAGTCAAGGATGCATTATATTGAAAAGTTAACCTTTCATTATAAAGTATAAATCTTGCATACTCATTCTTTATTTCAGATCTTTGTAATTTACAGACACAGATTTCAAAAACCACTTCATGCTGGAAATGTAACAGAACGCCAACTTTTTAAAAATTTCCTATTCCTGTGCTCTCATATGCAGGTTTTCCAGACACTCCACGCTACAGGCCAGTCTTCTATGGTGCGAGACTGGGTGCTCCTGTCATTGTCCAACTTTACTCAGAGGACACCAGTGGCCATGGCCATGTGGAGCCTCTCCTGCTTCTTTGTGTCTGCTTCCACCTCCCAGTGGATCTCAGCACTGTATCCTTACATACCACGTAAAAGATCTCACAAGCAGGAGACTGGACCGGAGTGGCTGGGTGGTGGTAGAAGCAGCAGCAGCTGATGTCTCAGTGTTGCAGTGATTTGTAACAACGCTTTACTTTAATTATTTCTAATGTTTTAGTAAAACAGTTTACTCTGTGAACTGTGATCAAATAATTATAGTTTAGCTTCTTTTTGTGAGCTTCTGATCCACAGTTGTTTTGTTACCTGCATTGGGGGCAGGAGATAGGAGAAATGACAGCATGATCAGCAGTTTAATAGATTTAAGCCTCATAAAATAATCATTGTATAATTATATTTACAACATTTTCACTACCATCAGAAACTCTGATATACTCAGAGTCATTTTACCTGACAAAACACAGGAGTTGTTTGCCTACTGGTGCCACGATTGATTACTTTGTGTTTTGTTACAGTAGTATTTGAAGTGGTGAGGTCCTGTCCAGACTAATGCATGCAAACAAAAATCTCAACGTGAGCTCCAGCTCCTGTTTTCTGCAAAAAGATCTTGAAGATCAAATTGTTTTGGTCAGTGAAGTGTGGTGACTCTGAAGCTGACTTTGTTTTTTTGGTCATTTACTAAAATCACATCTTTGCAAACACTAGAAGAGATTTACTAAATACACATTTTGTGTAATAAAAGTTAAACTATAGCACTAGAATTATGTAAGTGTTTATTTATTTATTTTTTTTACCTTTACAAGTAGCCCCATTGACACAGACTTACAAGACAGACCTGTTACAATGTCTCTCTATATTTTACACACACACACACACACACACACACACACACGCACACACGCGTGAATGCAGCACAACTTAGCTGATGCTTGCAGACAGTGTGATCTGTTGTCCTTAACCCACCCACTTTTAACCAGACTGCCACACGTGATCAGCCGAATGGGCTCCAGTGAGGTGGTGGATGTTAACCTGTTCTGCCTGGTGGCCATGGATTTCTACCGGCATCAGATTGACGAGGAGCTGGACCGCAGAGCTTTCCAGTCAGTATTTGAGACTGTGGCCTCGCCAGGCAGCCCTTATTACCAGCTGCTGGGCTGTCTGCAGTCAGTCCATCAGGATACATCACTCTGAGGGCAACAGACGGAGAAGGGCATGGAAGCACACGGAGAAAAGTGGTTTCAAGTGAGGTGTGGTAGGGTGAGAAATTAGATCTCTATTTATAATTCCTGGATGAATTGTGACTAAGGGTAAGAACAGAATGTTTTATTAGGAAAAAACTACTGTAGCTTCATCCCTTTTTGCCCTTTCAATGATAATGAGATAAGTAGAACTACTGAACCCACGGCAACAAATTCAGTGGAGCGAGTATTAAAAGGTTGAGGAAAAAAACTAAAAAAACCCAACCTGAATTCAATATTAGGCTGTGTGTTTAAATGTAAAAGGAGCATTCTCTGACGAGGAACAGCAAGCTTCTGTATCTGTGTGGAGATTGCACCCACCCGACCCCACCCGCTCCCCTCAGATGATTCCTTGAGACATGACTGCACCTTCAGCACTTCCCTCTCAGCACCTTTTGAGATATTTAGTAAAAAAAAAAGCCCATGAAGATGACGATCATCAAATAAAGAATTGGATGAGTTTATTTTCCTGTGGGAACTTGTGGGGATTGAGTATTGTGATGTTAGTAAAGTAAACAAAAATAGAAAAGTATTTAAAGTTTTAGTGCATCTATTTTTCAGTGAGTCATGTGCTTAAGGTCTGGTTAGGATGCTGACAATGGGCTGACACGTAAAAGTCAGAAACACCTGCTTGAAGTCGATGAGTACATTTCTTTGTGTTTAAGTTATTTGTGGTCATTCACACACTTAAGTTAAATAGAAAAATATTTTAGGTGGAAGAATGAGCACCAATAGCCATAGTTGTTTTTTTTGTTTGTTTTTTTTTGTGTGCATCTGTTTATTTTTTTGGAGGGGGTCTTTTTTTCCCCCCCAGGGGATTGGTTTTGCAGTTTAATTTGTCCCAGCAGAAGGTGTTTATGGATTTTGTTTGTAAGGGAGGGGAAAAAAACGTACCCAACTTATAACCAGCGCTCGGCCACATTTCCATATATCTGCACTGACATAACAGCGGAAACTGTCAAGCATGGAAAAATACCAAAATTATCAAAATTGCAGTGATGTTGTCTTCATTTCTTTCCTTTTGTTTAACTAGTAGCAGAGGGGGCAAAAGATTCCCTTTTGATTTTTATTACCTTGCTTACGTCTGTCTAGTCTTTTTGTTGTTGTTGTTTTGTTGGTTTTCATTGCAGTCTTGTTTGCTCCTCAGTGCACCTGAATGATTCCACCTGTCTTTTTCTTGTACCTTTGTTAATTCTCAGGATGTAAGATGTGACTATATTATTGTTGTAATAAGACTGGAAGTGATTTACAGTCCTCGTACAATAGTCACCTTCATATCTTGTAAAAAGTAATTGTATAGCAACATAAAAGCCATGGTGCATGATGAAATGAGAACTGTAAAAACGATAGGACTTAGACGGTAAGATAATGTGATGCCATTTTCTTTTGTCCTAACGCGCACGAGCACAGAAGAAAATGAAAAATTAGCGAATAATCGTCAGAATGCGGAAAGCTGCAAGCTTCTAGTGTTTTATTAAAGACTTGACCTCGAGCTGCCTGGGAGTGTGCTGGGCTTTGTTACTCTGTACATACACTTGCCTTAGATAAAAGACTGAATATGTTTGTCTTATACACTGAAAGCTTGAAAGCATGCTTAGCATTATGGCTATTTTCTTTCTGTCTTTAATACTGTATTTCCATGGGTACGGTTGACTTGTGTGGAAGAGATGCAACACAATCCAAAGGGAGCCTTGTAACCTTAGCGACCAACAGCAGCTTTGACAAATCAACAGATGAGGAAGTGTAGCATAGCGGTGCCACGTCACAGCAGGAGTTCTTTGTCTGTTTTTTGTTGAGCTTTAAAATATTGTTTTGTCTCAGTTAGAGCAGTAAATACTTCATTATTCATTGTCTTTGTGCAGAATATTAAATACACACGGCACTTAAAAAAAACAAAAAAACTAAGAGAAAAAAGAAAGTTCTTTTGATGTTGATGTTAGACGCTTTCTTTATACGCAATGAGTGCTGCAGTACATTAAAAGTAAACATCACAGTGATTTGTATGCTAAATGTGTAACCGCTCACCAGTCTTAAAGCTGGTGACTGGTTTCCTTTGATCATGAGAAAATAATGTATTCACACAATGAATGACAGAGTCCTCTGCAGCTGTTGAAATTCCAATGTGAGGCCTCGCTGAAGCAGATTAAAGGAGCCTAAATGAGTCCTGCTTTCAAAGTCATTTCGAATTCTTGGGGTGGGGAGAAAGAAATTAAAGATGATGGGAAAAGTCTTTTTCTAATCTACACACTACTTTCGACGTTTAAAGAAAACTCAAAAATGCGGTTGATAAAATGTAGATTTTTCAGCTAGTCTCTGGAAGGAAAAGAGCAGGGGACCCCTGCTGGGGATAATGCGATTATGCAGAGGTCTTTTGTGATTTGGGGAGATGGGCTTTGGGGCTGTCAACAAAGCTCATGTTACTCTGATTTAACGCTTCTAGTGAAGGCTTTATTTTGTTCCACATTAGGAATAAATCGTTCAGAAAATATTGTAGTCACTGTTCTCGGATAAAGCTGAGAATCGTGGTTTGAAACAAATTTGGCAACGACTTCCCATAATCCTGATTCTAAAGGTGGTAGACTGAAAATGAAATGCTTTTCTTTACATTTTCTTCAGGCAGGATCTTTGAAAGAACCTGAAGTGTCCACATCTTCTTTTTTTTTTTTTTTTCCCCCCTCTTTTATTTACATTTGCCTGTAAAAATATGACTGGAAGAGATTGTGTATTTGTTAATTTTAATATTTCAAAGAGATTAATCACTGCATATGATCTGTTGTAGAAATAAATTATTTAAACATGTAACCCCGTTCTGAGATTTGATTTGCTGAGTGAGAGCTGTAAGTCACGGATGACAACTCTGACTGTAAACCAGCTAAAGGTACTCTGTGTTTGCAAATAACAATATTACGATCATGGCTGCTTTGTACCCACAGGACCCCTTGTGTGTCTGTCTCTAACACGATCAACCTGTCGGGTGACAGACGTTTAAAATGCTCTGCCTCGTCCTCGTCTTATCCAGAAAGAACAAGCTGTTGCCAGCCAACTTCAATTAACCACAAAGCGGTCAAGCCAATCTGGGAACACAAGTAACTGAGAGATGTGCTCATGTGAAGGTCCACACTGTAAAACTAACTAACCGATTACACGGTCAAGTTATCACATTTTGTACAATTTCCTTTTCTCAGCTAGGCAGTAAAATTCCTTTTTATAGACCACACTGTATGAAAGCATGCTCTTATTTTACAGCATCATTAAGATGGGTGTTCCTGATTAAAAGATATTAGCAGGATTACTAGGCAGCTGCCATATGGTTTGTGAAGCACTGAAATCAGGATGGCACAGGTGTTAAGCAACTGTAGATGCTTCTTATAGCTGAAGTTTACATCACATCATCTGAAAGAGTAGTAGCTGACAACTGATGGGGTTTCTTGTAGCATTTCTTTTTGCACATCAGTGGAGCCACACTGAGATGTGATGAAGCCTAAAGCATTAAAGCAACAAGTCTGGTGTGCTATAACCAGTTGTTCCAGTCAGAGCTATTATACTTTTATATGTGTAATCTTTTTTTCTTTTTTTTTTTTAATTTGTGGATTAATTGTTAAACTTCAAATTTAATTACTAATAAGCAGGATACTTTTTAGGCTAAATATTTAAAAAATCTGGGTTAAAAAATAAAAATACAGTGCTTTGTGAAGACAGTTGATTCTAAAATGTAGACATCCTGAGTGCACTCCCCTCCACCCTCCACACCCACCCTTAGCTTTTATTTTTTAAGTTTAGTGAACTATAACTTGTTCCAGTTTAGAACGCATTTGGATGTTATAGTTTAGCTTATTGCACACTTCTCCACACTTTTGCAGATTTCTGGCTGGTTTAGTTCAAATTGCACAATATTGCGGGTTTTGGTTAAGTTCAATCAACTGGATCGCACTGTTACATGAAATGACATGGCTACGAAGTTGGTGAACTTTAATTCTGTATCATTTCGGCTGTTAAAAGTCCCCCCTCCAATCATCTGTACACCCTCCTCCGCTGCCCACTCTAAACACACCTCCCTCTCCTCCAGTCCTCCTCCTCTTAAGGCTACTTCGCCAGATGGTGCAGCCTTTTCTTTTGTTTACCCATCGCCCCTGAGTTTACCCAACTAACCTTAGCTACGCAACTATGGAAACTTCTCGGGGAGCATCACCGCCGGACACCGACAAGTAAGTCAGATGTTAATCTCGTGTTGAGTGAACCGTCTGCTCCAAACATCTTTGTCGGAACATGAAAAAGACCTGCATCCACCTCTTACTTAGCCATCCCTACTTTTTTTTTTAACAACCACTTCAGCCAGCTGTTTTCGCTTCGTGCTGTTTTCTGCTTATAAAGACACAGATAATTTGCTGTGCTTCCAATAAAACTCCCCGTGATTAAACAAGCTAGCAGCTGCAGAGTTCGCTCTCCCGCTGCGTTTCTGACACCTGTGGAATCGTCTACCGTTAGTACTTTTTTTTTTTATTATTTGTGATTTCTCTATCTAACTTTTGTCAATTTGTCCGCATAACTGTTTGCTATCCGATTGACAACTGGAGTAGCCAATGACAAGATGGGAAAGTTTGTGTACGCCGCCGTTGCCACGGTTACGCACCGACATTCCAAAGATCTGGAAATCGAGGGGCGGGACTACAGTTTAAGCACGGGTGGATGCGCTTTTGAACAGCGAGTCACGGCAAGAAAAAAAAAAAGAGAAAACTTACAGTAACTCCATAAGCTGAGAAGAAGCATGCGTTTCTCAGCGTAAAGTAATAAACGCGCTGTTTGGGGTGTTAACTCACAGCACTGTTCAAGCAGGGATAACTCTGCTAGCATGCACAGCTAACTAAACTAACGGTAACGCGTCAGCTAGTCCCAGCTAATGTCAGTGTCCTTCTAACAAGAGTTAAAACATATGTGCTCACATTTATCACACTGAGCTTTTATTTAACGTAAACAAAAGCGAAAGTTGTTTGGGGGGAAAAAGGAGAAAGTTGTGAAGTTTTTGCACAGCACAGGTGTGCTGGGCTGGGTCTCTGTAGACCTGACAGAACTGGTGACTTTATAGGTGTGGCTGTGTCCTCCCAACTTCCAGTGATCTGATAGAACACTTTACATGGGCCCAAGAGCATTTGGTGTAGAAGCCCACATGTTAAGCATGTTAGGGTTAAGAAATCGGTCATGATTGATTTGGTTGTGTTCTTTTGTACTTTAGGTAACCTGCCCGGAGTAAAAGATGGTGACACCAGGATGGGAGGCCTAGCAAGGTGGTGCCAAAGCTGAGGCTTGGGTTCTCACCCACCTGCTGCTTTTTGAACTGCTGCTCATTTTTCGTAGCAATCTGACGCCAGGGCTGCTTGACGAGAAGACGTTGGAGGCACGCTGCGTTCTTGCTTTAGTAGAGATTAGGGACCTACAATGACAAATGTAAATTGAAACTCACTGAATAAATGGACAAGAGAAAATTTCCTGGCACAATGTCCAGGCAAATGGATGTGTCATGCAAAAGGCGCCCCATCGGTGGCAGCGGTCTGAACTTCCCTCAGTCTCAGCAGGGTTGTATACGGGCTGTGGAGGTAGCAAGAGGGAGAACAGGGTATGGCTTTACGCTGTCAGGCCAAAGCCCTTGTGTCCTTAGCTGTATCCTGAAAGGAAGCCCTGCTGACTATGTGGGGTTGCGCTCCGGGGACTACATCCTCTCTGTGAATGACATCAACGTCTCCAAGGCGTCACACGAAGATGTGGTCAAACTGATCGGACGCTGCTCTGGTGTTTTGAAACTAGTAATCGCTGAGGGAGAACGTCACAGGCGACACCACCAACGCTCTGCCGGCGGTCGTCACCATAGCAGCAACACAATGGCGGCATCCTACCTGGACTCATGCTCCAGTGATGATGAGTTGGATGGTTTCTATGATAACAGTGTTAACAATAACAACAACAGCAGGTCAGGCTGTGGAGCCCGTGGAGGCTGGTACAAACCCAAACTGGACACTAAGCAGCTGGGCATCAACCGGGCAGAGAAGGTGGTGGCAGAGCTGCAGTCTGGAGGAATTTTTAACATGATCTTTGAGAACTCCAGCCACTCCTCCAGCAGCTCAGACAAAGAGAGACCTGGAGTAAGTACGTCCTCGTCAAAGCCACGTCCGCTGTCTGATTCCGAATTCCCAGCATATCGGAATTCCTCACGTTCCCAGAGCAACCCAAACCTGCTCTCTGAAGAGGAGATGGCCCAAGTTCTGAATGATGATTCGGTCTTCCTAGAATCAGACTTTCGGCATCTCCACCTTCAACACCATGAAGAGCAGGATGTTGATGATGGAGATGGTGGCGACTTGGGCCTAGAGCCCAGTGAGGGTATCCTCAATGTGGGAATGATTGTTGGCTATCTGGGCTCCATTGAGCTCGCCTCCACAGGCACAAATCTAGAAAGTGACAGTCTGCAGGCCATCAGAGGGAGCATGAGGCGCCTCCGGGCTGAGCAAAAGATTCATTCATTGGTCCTCATGAAGGTGCGAGTGGAGGTTTTTTTTCTTCTTCTTTTTTTTCCCTTGTGTTAATTTTAATGTGATTGTGTTATTATTGTTAACCATATTTTCCCTGGTATCAAGTTTGGTAACATGCATTAATTATATCCTACCAGGTTATGCATGACAGTGTGCGTCTGTGCAGTGACAGAGGTCAGGTCCTGGCCACCTATCCTGCAGAAAAACTAGCCTTCAGTGCATGTTGTCCCGATGACCGGCGATTCTTCGGACTGGTAACGATGCAAGCTACAGACGACCATGATGATAGGCACTTCAGCATTGCACGAGATGACGAGGGGAGTTTAAGGACTTCTTGTCATGTGTTTATTGTGGACCCAGATCTGTGTCACCACCAAGTAAGCGTTACAATTTAAACTGATGGGAAGGAAATATCTGCAGAATGTCTGTTTTTTTTTTTTTAAATGGCATGGGTAATATTACAACACAGTGATCAAGTACTCAAGAAGTTACTCATATATCTTAAATCTGGTGAACCTAATTTGTTCTAGTCGAAGCGATGGTTGTAAGCCAAAGATTTATTAGCAGCTACTTTTTCTGTATTGCATTAGGACAAACTCTCAGTAACTGTTACTTCCTCAGGTCCATCTGGGTGTTGCCAGGAGGTTTGGCTTTGAGTGTACCCCTGACCCAGACACAGGTGGCTGCTTGGAATTCCCACCCAGCTCTCAGCCTCTCCTCCAGTTTGTTTCTGTCCTTTACCGGGACATGGGAGACAACATCGAAGGGGTTCGCGCCCGTGCTTTCCATGACCCAGACAACGATGCCCAGCAAAACCACAGCACCAGTAGCAACAGTGATAGTGGGATTGGCAACTTTTTACCAGAGGAAAAGAGCAACAGAGTGCTTTTAGTTGACCTTGGAGGTCCTCCAAATCACAACCACGTCTCTGGGCCGCGCCACTGGGACAGCCCACCGTCATCGCAGCAGGCTTGGAGTCCCACTCTGGGAGCAGCAGCTTCTCATCCACCTCCTCCAACGCTGAGAAATGGCCATTATCGTAATGACCCCCACCTGGCTGATCTTCCTCACCCTCTCCCCTTATCTCACCCTGATGTCCCTGTCAGGCACTCACGAGGGGTCAACCCACACCACTACTCATCAGGGAAGCGGGGAGGAGCTGTTGGGGGAGGAGAATGGAGAGGGGCTGGAGGAGCAGTAGGGGTGGAACCGCAGAGGTGGCTACCAGTCCATGTGTTGAGAGACTGGCGTCAGCAGCACCACCACAGCCACCTCCAGGGC